GCGGTTCAGAATCTGCATAAACGCGGAAAAGTTATACGAGAGTTATTTTTTACCTGTGATGAAGCTCCATTTCCTTTGCACACCCTAAATGCATAGTGTGGCCACAGCGCAAGACTGTGATATCTCTCGTGGTATCGAATAGATACTGAGAAGATAACACATAGCAAAGATGATGCATAAGAACCCAAATCCCGCTATCACGAAAAAATCATATAATTTATGGTGGAATTCCGTATCATTACCTCAAAGCAAACCGGGCAATTGTGATGCATTGCTCCTTCGACACATCTGTGTGTATCCTTCATCACTTTAGAGTAGCAGCAACCTTTACATACGAAACCTCATTCGGTAAACATTGCTATGGAAATTAATGGAAGTATCGAGGGAAACAGGCATACGGGTTTGCGTCTTACCGCATCTTTCACAGTGAAAGAAGTTTTCTTCACCTCCAGTACTGTTAATCACCAGCAAGAGAGACGATATTAATACCGGGATTTCTCCCCGGATCGTATGATCATATAGTTCCTAATAAAATCTTTAAGCGAATTCGTATGACTCTGAAGGACAAACCGGCAAATCCCACATTCGTTGCAATGGTATTGTCTCTTGGATACCTGAAACCGAAAGTTTGACACTTGTGGATCACAAAAGTGAGATATTCAGACATACGAAAGGACTCGTGACCCGATTTCGTAGATGCGTGTGATGGATGGTAATGTATAAACATACGTACATCATCATCAAAGAATTTGCACTTTGGGCAGAAGTACTTCCCCATGCATACGCCACAATTTGAGCAATTTTGTTGGACCTGAAACCAATCGGAGAGGAACATATGATCAAGAGGAAAAGGCATGTTCTAACACACGCAATCTCAGTGATGCAAAAGCGTTAATACTCACGTCTTGTTCTGTGTTACAAAATGAGCATACGACCTGAAAATCCAAAGAATCGGTTTTTGTTTTTTAGACGAGCGATTGCTTCAATATCAAGCAAAACCAGAAAAAAGCTGTTCTCAAGTTAGCAACCAGAGTCCGGATGCAAGTAAAGTCGTAACCTTTGCAACTTCATGTCGTGGAAGATCATGTCGGTCGAGGGGATCGGTTTCAAGAGAATTCTGTTCACAGAGCAAACACACATCGATTTCATACATAATCTTTCATATTCATAACAACAGAAAAAAGAGCTAAGTATATGATTTCACGACTCGGAATTCAGTTTTATCAGATACCCTTCTCATATCTATGAATCATAACGAACACTGAGACGGAATTTGGGGGTCTTTCTGATGATTTACAGAATCAGGGGGTGTTAATGGAAAATTTAGAAAAAGATCAACACTTCACTTGGAAAATTACCTTAGCTTCGTTGTGGCAATGCCTGCAATCGAAAACCTCATCGCAACACGGCGCCCTGATTCTGCATCTTCTCCTGTAATGCGAGCACCTGAAAACAGAAAAATTTAAAATGAAAAAAAAGAGATATTTAAGAAAAAAGCTTCAAAGTTTATCTTCCTTTCCCAGGAACCCAGGAAGAGAAGACGGAACAAAGGATTAGCATTTCGACGATGAACAACAAGGGGGAAGTTTTCTTACCCGTAATTTCCAGATCCAATCTCCATGAAATTGGGAGCTTGAGCTCCAGATGCTTGATTCTCCAGGAAACCCATCTCCATTTTCACTTCAAGTTTCGATCTTTCGTGTTTCGACCTCAGTCCGTACAGAGAAAATAGAAAACCCTAGTTTTGAAGGACACGCAATGTGTCCGAGTTTGTCGATCATACGAGTTGCAGGGGCGAGTCGGAAACGGCCGTGTATTTATATCTAACAAAAAAAAAAATGATGAAATCATGAAAAAAGGAAAAGAAAAAAAAACAAAATAAAACAGGATAATATGTAACTGTTTGATTATTTAAATCAAATTGGTTCGACCTGCATTTTAAACAAATTTGATATAAAGTCGAAAGATTATAAGTTTTTATTGAAAAAATCAAAATAGTGGTAAAAATTAAAAATTTAATACGAATATAATTTTTATAAAATTTAACAATTAAAATCTATAATAAATAAAACGAATTCGAACCAAAACAATGTCTGCTCTAGCCGACGGTTTTAGCAAATCCCGGTTTTGGTGAGTTCATCGAGTCAAGTCCGGATAGGATCTTACTCCTTTCTGAGTCATTGTGGACCCCACCACTTCCTTGATTAATTATTTTAATTATATACCACCAATAATTTAGATCAAAATATCTACCAACAATTTAAATCAAAATATCTCGTCGAAAAAAATATCACAATTATTTATCTTGATATTGGTCAACTTCTAAACTATCCTTAATGTACTACAAACACTTCTCCTACTATCCTCTTCTATTTTTTAAAAAATTCAAACTTTCAATCTACCCTCTTCAATGACATATTACCAAAATACCCTTAAAATATGATTTTTTAATTAAAAAATAAAAAACAAAATTTCTTCTTTCTTGAAAATTTCTCTCTCCTCCTATATTTAATTTTTTAATTAAAAAAACAAAAAACAATTTTTTTTTCTAAAGTTTCTCTCTCCTCTCATTTTTTGCACGTTTCTCTCTCCTTCCGTCATTATTATACATTGATCTTTCTCTCTCTTCTGTATTTTCTCTCTCATCTTCATCTTGATATTTTATCTTAAAAATTTACAGAAATCGGACGAAATTAAAGGAAAATCAATGAGAAAACTGAAAATATGTAAACTAGTGTCGAAATCCCGATTTTTTTTCGATGCATATTAATGGCTTTTGTGGTTTTTTTTAATTGTTATTATTTTCGTAGTTCCTTCTTTTATAGTATATTTCGATAACAACCTATAATTTTGCTCATGAAAGTATTGTTGAACGTAGTGGAAAATGAGATGATATATATTATGAGGAGAGAATGACTAATTTAGAGTAAAAAAAATAACCAAAATTTGTATAATAATTATGTGATATATTTGTATACTAATGTGCTACAAACCATTTGTACAATAATATCCAAAGAACTTTGTATAATAATTTTGTAATGTGTTTGTACAATAATATGTTAAAAATTTTGGATAATATTGTGTTTGTAACATAATAATATTGTACTCTTAACCTTGTATTTCATTATATATCTGACTCGTGTTACACATTAAATAATTGGCTCACATGAGCCAATGTTGTGATCCATTGTGACCAGTATGTGACCATGTGACCGAAGTGCAATTTTACATTGTGTAACCATTGTGACCGATTGTGACCCGTGACCGAAATGTGTTGATAAATATAGACCGAAATTTAATTTTTAAGTTTTAGAGTGATCATAGTCTATATATCAAATATATAGTGTATATGAGAAAATTTCAAAATATTTTAAAGGTTTTGTAGAAGAAATATTCTAAATTTGTCCAAATTACTAATAAAATATTATAAAATATATAGGAACACATTTGGAAGACAATTTTGAAACACAAAAATCGCAAAACTCATATTTTGATGTTCGAAACAATATAAAATAGACTTATGAGAGATGTGTGACGTTGTACACTAATTAAATTGATAAAAATTGTATACATTGAAGGTTGTGACTGGTTGTGACCGACTGTGACCGAAATATGATGTGGGACCCATGAGAAGAACTAGTCAGAATTTCTCTAGATTTTTATGTTTTGTGGGGTCCACAATCATTATTTTTATTTTTGGTTTTAATGTGGGGCACATTTTGAATATTCAACCTTATATAATTTTCAGACCAATATTTTATATAAAACACAAATAAATTCAGATTTCTAATAAACAAAAAACTAAATACAAGAGTTCATAATTCAGTATACTACCAAACAAAGAAAAACATATCATAGTGAAATCCACACTTTCGTCTTCTGAAATGTCTGTTGTCAAGTCTCTTGATTCTACTCAAATGTCGTATTCAAAACTGAATCCTTCCATCGGTACTCCTCTCATACCCTTCCAAATAAAAAAGAAGTGATTCTTCACCCATTTTTATCTGCAATATAGTGAATCTGAATCGTGTGACCTTGTGACCATGTGACCATGTGACCTTGTGACCATGTGACTATGTGATCATGTGATTATGTGACCCGTGACTGTTGTATATTGTGATATAGACGTACCTATATGACCTTGTAACTTTTGTAACTGTGACCGTGTGACATTGTGACAATGTGACCATGTAATCGTGTGACCATGTGACCTTGTGACCATATGGTCTTGTGACCATGTGACCGTGTGACCATGTGAACTTAGAAGAATATGACTGAGTAACCATGTAAACTTACAATATATGTGATTCATGCAATCATGTGACATAAATCACCCTGTGAACTGAGACCATGTGATCTTCTAACCTTGTAATCATACAATAGTGTCACCAAAATGACCATCTGACATTTGACCTAATGACCATACAATCGTATCACCTATACAACCATGTGACATTTATGATCGTGACCATGTCATTCGAATCCTCATGTCACCCATACAACCAAACATCGTTCCATATGATATCGTTACCTATATGACAGTCCTAAATGACTTTGTGACCGAAACTCACCTATTTCACTCGATTTTAACCTTAAACCCTCAAACCCAACATTCTATTTTAAAATCCCCAAATTTTTAAAATTACCCAGAACCCTAATGCTCTCGAGTTCAAATCCTCAACCCACACTCAAACTAAATAACAAAAAATCTCAAAATTAAATAAATATGCAAACAAATCGAAATTTAACCTATCATATGTTGGTCTAACTCCGCAATCTTCATCTGGTTCTCATCTCGTTCGAAGACTGTGACGAAGACGAACTCGAATCCATGTTATGCATTATCGGCGTTAATTTTTCTTCCAATCTTATCATATTTTGGTAGATAGATAAAATTTGTGAGAGAAGACGAGAATTAGGCCACAAATCGACGAGAGAGGAGAGTTCATCATTTTTGCAGAGAGAAGAAGAATCGGGATTAAGAGTGAGGGGGTGGAGATCATGGTTTAGGAGAGAAAGAGAGTTGATACGTGACCTAGAGGAGAGAGAAAGAGATTTATTTCTCTCTTTTAAATTATTTTTATTTTTACTAGATGAGAACCGCGCGATGCGCGGCTTATTCCTGTTATATTTTTATTATTTTTATAATATTTGTATATATATATTTTTATAATTTGGAAAAATTATCAATACTCAGTAAAGATATGTATATCTTTTTCTACATGATTTATATATTTAATATTATTCTTTATATATAAACTCTAGGTTGCCACCTGTACAATATGTTGGTTATTATTATTTATATATATAATTTTTATTGTAAAATTTATTAATATTAATATAGTAAAAAATAAAATTATTATAATAACTATCTTTAGAAAAATTAATTATTACAAAAATAGTAAAGTTAAGAAGGAATTTGAGTCTGGTTGTTATAATAATAATAATAATAATAATAATAATAATAATAATAATAATAATAATAATAATAATAATAAAACTAAATATTATGGAAAGAATTTGTTTGGAAAATGATTTAATTTAGATATTTTACATGAATTTTTTTTATGATATTAAAATATATATCTATATATATCTTTGTAGATGATGTTATTTTTAGTGGTAGAACGTTTTATTTATAACAAATGGTAGTTAACTTAATATAATAATAATAAGATTTTGTATATAAATCTATTAAGCAATGTGGTGATTTATATATATTATAATATTTTCTGTCAGTTTTTCTGACTATAAGATCATTCTATAAAAAAGTCTTAAGATTTTATTGATATTTTTAAAATCAAAATTTTATTTTAGTTTGTTAAAATCTAATTAAGATATCAAATTGTTTGGAAATATATAGATTGCAACTTAATTAAATTGTTATAAATTTACTCTTTTAATAATACTATGATAATACGATCAAAAGTGTAATATATATAATATAACTATATATATATATATATGTATATTTTTAAATCTAAACATTCGTTCTATTAATTTTTCTAATATAATTCGAACAATGTTGAACAAAATTGATATTATTAAATATTATAGTAATGATTTATTTTTACTAATATTCCATGTCACCATATTTATATGTTGTTAATAAAAAAAATCATAAAAGATAATTGATATTTGATGTTTGAGGTTTGTAAAGAAAACCAATGAGGATTTAGGAAAAGTGAAACCAATGGGGTTTAAAAAGAATTTTTTTCATTAAATAGGAATTATATACACAAAGTTGCATTTTATTGTCAAATACAAAGTAGTCAACAAATTTTATCAGATATATTTTTTATATTAAATAAATAAATTATATTAAAATATTAATATCAATAAATTTTATAAAATATATAACCCTCATATTACGGTTTATACTTAAAACCAGGGGTGGACACAGATCGGATCCGCACAAATATTTGATTTTGTTATCAGTATCCGATCCGCACAAATATTCGATTTTGTTATCCGTATCCGATCCGTAATTTTCGGATATCTGCAACTTCGGATATTTGTAAAAATCACAGTTTGCGGATATCCGTATCCGACCTAAAATATTATAAAATTTAAAATTTAAATTAAACAACAAATTTAAAAGTACATAAAATATATAATCTAATTAAGATAAATGATATTCACAAATTTAAAATTCATAATTTAAACATTCCAAATCAACTCAAATACAAATACAATTATAATCTATCACATACAAATATATTCAAAATTCAAAATTCAAAACATTAAATATAATAAATCTTAATATTCAAAAGATTAAAATTATAAACCTCAGTATATATAAAATTTTTCTTGAATCACCCTAAAAAATATGTAAATATTAAACATTTTAAATCTTTATACCAAATTATTCTTATATTTAATAATATTATTAGAAAGTACGGATCAGATCGGATATGTCAGATAATTCAATTTTAATATTCGTATCCGACAAATATCTCCAAATAAATATTCATATCTGATATGTAAACTCCGGATATCCGATTTTTTGGTTCGTATACGAATCGAAGAACGGATCGGTTCGGATTTTTCGGATATTTTGCCCATCCCTACTTAAAACTGTCAAGATATATTTAAAGGTATAGTTTTTTATATAATCAAATAAATAGTTGTTATTTCAATTTTAACAATAATAATCTATATTTTTTTTGGTTATGCATATAATCTATTTTTTAAAAATATATTTTTCATTTGTAAAATTTAATGATAGTTTAAACAAATCTAATGATATTAAAGATGATAAATTCTACAACATAAAATACATGAACTTATATACCTAAATTGAAATTTATATATACATATACATAAGTATATATATGTGCACATACATACACAAATAGATAGATATATACATACATACATGTATATACATATATATACATACATATCCATATAAACATGCATACAAATACATTCATATATATATATACATATATATATACAAATACATATGTACATATATATGTAGATACATATAAACATATATACACATCAATACATTGTTATATGCATATATATACATATATATATATATATACAAATACATATAAATAAATATATGTACATATATACACAAATTAAAAATCAAATATAAAATATAAAAAATACATACATACATACATATACAAATATAAACATATTATATATATATATATTTATTTACATGTTTTTTATTAAATGTGTCACCTATTTTTTTTAAACCTATTTTTCATGAGGAAAAATTAGTGATAGTCTAATAATATATATACATATATACATACACAATTTAAAAAATCAAATAAAAAAATATAAATGATTAAAATACATACATACATACATACATACATACATACATACATACATACATACATACATACATACATACATACATACATACATACATACATACATACATACATACATACATACATACATACATACATACATACATACATACATACATACATACATACATACATACATACATACATACATACATACATACATACATACATACATACATACATACTTTGTTAATTATTTTTAATTATTTTTTATAATGTTTTTGTAATGTGAATTTTAAAATAATATTTATTATTTTTTTCAATTATTTTTATAATATTTGTTAATGTGAATTTAGTAAAAATGATATATTTGATTTAGGAAAAAACATATTATAAGAATAAAATATATTTTAACAATATTATAAACAATTTATTATGAATATTAATTTTTATCAATTATACTTCAATTTAATGTTCCTCACTAATAAATCATGTATTTTGTGTAATATTTTAATATGTTGGATATTTTTTATATCAATTATTTTTTAAATTATAAAATATAATATATATATATATATATATAATAATAATATAGATAAATATTTTACATATAGGAATGCATAAAGTTTGATTGACATATGATGCAATAGATTTTGTATTTTTTATTATAAAAATTAGTATTATTTTGTTTTAAATGTTATTGGTATAAATAATAGATATATTATAGATTTATAATAAATTTTAATAAAAATAATAATTAAGTTTATCTAAATTGATTATATCAATTTTTTTACCTTAACTATATTTTAAAATTTTATCATTTAGTTTTATATGATAACCTCTTCAAAATCAGCCAAAACCAAACTCATGTGATTTCTTCCTTGCGACAATTATCTACCAAATTTTAAAGATAAAATTTTCACAATAACCAAACATGTATATAATGAACGGAGTTCCATCCCAACATACTCATAATGATAATTTACATCGAAGTGAATTCTAAAAATCGAACCAATACATATCAAATCCTTTTAAATTTTTTTAATCATTAGGAGTCAAGTCATAGAGTTTCAACTATCTACAAATACATAAAAGATTTAAATTATAAAGATTAGAGGATTTTAACGTAACTGGTTATCTTATTGTCATATATAAATTTGATATCAATAATTTGTTTTGAAGATCCTAAGTATCGGGGAGGTTTAGATCTTGACAAAAACTTTTAGTTATAGAACAAATTATTCATGAAAAATATTAGTAAACTTAATATAGTACAGTCTTGGTATCGTCTTACATATTAATCTATTAAGTACGTAGTGATTTATCTATATTTTATAATCCAATAAAATTAAAAAAAAGTCACATAAGAAGAATAGGTCTCTTAACAACGATAAAAAAATAAAAAAATTATGAAATTAGTATTTGCACTATTTTGTTTTTTTTTTAAGTTACAGCGGCCAATAAATTTTTCAAATGTGTAACTGAAATTCTGCAATATTTTAGTTTTATTAGTCTTTCTTTTCAATTTTATGGTCACATGATAAAATAACTTCTTTATACTAAAAATAAAGAAATAAAATATAATTTTAATTTTAAAAAGTTTCTGCATTTATGATAAGAGATAAATATATTTTTTTAACAGAAGAACTTAAAAAGATAAAATTATATACATTAAAATTGATGACAGATATTCACTTCCGTTTCATTTATCTCCAAGAGCGTCCTCCTGGTCTTTTTATATAAGAAAAAAAAGATCGGCTAAACCTACAAAGATGACATGTATCCCATCATTTTACCAAATATAAGGCTAGATAATATGTATAACATTGACCAAATAAAATAATGAAAAGCAAAACATCCATTTTATTTTGTCAAAAAAAAAATCCATTTTTATTACAAGATTATTCTAACATTCTGTTACTCTCCTTCGATCTGGTATATGATCGCTCCCGTCTCTTTTTTTATTCCAAAATTTTCCACTGCAATTAAAAAAATCTCTGATCATAAATTACCAGAAAATATATTAATGATGAGAATTTTCTTAAATTTTGTGGTATACCTCAAATTCATTATCTAATAAAATGACGGAACCATAATCGAATCTATGTCGGATATAGTGCAAGATCAAAAGATAATGATCATTAGTGACAAAATTAATGATAATAGAATTTACCAAAAAAAGTAAATATGATCTAATAAAAATGAATGGAAACTAAAAGTTAGGACTTATTCCAATGTATATACTGCTTGATTTAGAGTCCGGAAAGGAAAGCGTGATGGTATTCCCGGTCACTTCCTCCAAGAAGGTTTTTGGATGTTGTGTATATATTACCAGATTTATTCTTTAATCCGACTTGAATATCGTTTCTAATAAAATAGTGATATTATGAAAAATTATTGAAAGGATGGAATAAAATATTGAAAACAAAGATAACTTACAAACATTTTCTCTTCAATCGCATATGTATCAGGTCCTTTTTCCACGCATTTTTTTTCTTATAATCGAGGGTTCCACCCCTTACCCTGCAAGAGAGTAATAAATAGGAGTATAAACTTGTCAATAAAGAAAACGAAAAGGTATAATCACCGGATTCGTCGACGTAACAGCCTTTACATGACCATGAATGACATATTAATATGTCATTAACTTTGAAAGACGTGGAGCTTGCGTTTTTTTTCTGTAGGTTTATTCATTTAATTATTTTTTAATGGTATGTTAAAGGTTTTTCCATGTGTAATTCATTATCATTAAACCATTATCATTAACCACTTCATCCAATATACGGTTTTGCAATGTATATATTTATTGATACCATCTCTAATTATTTATAAATGCAACATAATTATAATTTTTTTGTATTATTGTCAGTATTATTTTTTTATTTAGAAAAATAAGAATTAAAATATATAATATATGTGGAAATTAATGAACCAATAAAAATTGAGAAAATTGACATGTAGGATGTTTAGATGGCTTCACCATAATCCTTTAAATTCCATTATTAATATATATAGATTTTATTCTTTTTTTAATCTATAGCAAGGTTTTTTGGTCTTTTTAGTATATTATGAGGGTTTTTTTTGTCTTTTGTTGTGTTTTTTACTCTTTTTTTTCTAATTTTTTGTTTGGAGGGTAGGACCAGAAATTCTTGTAGTATTCGGAAGGTATTTCAGTTATTTCCCCTATTCTTACCAACCCGATCACTAAAACACATCAATTTTTTTTATGTATTTTTTGATATTGTTGAATCTATTTATGTTGATTTCTTACATAAAAAATAGGGAGAATCTCCCACAAATTCTCGAAAAAGTTCCAATTTCCTACACCAATTTTTAATTTGACAAAAAACTACACCGTATTTCAAATATTTCCAAATTCTCATACAAAATCTTAAAATGTATTGCAATTTCCCTCATATTTATAAATGACGTTAAGTTCAGTCAATTTTAATGCTGACGTGGCATACCACGTCACACAAATTTCGTCAAATCATCACATTTCGCCAAACCATCATGCCACGTCAGAAAATAAATAAATAAATAAAAATTGTAGAATTTTTTTAAAAAACTAATAAAATAAAATAAAAATTACAGAATTTTTAAAAATTACAAAATTTTAAAATTTATTTTTTTAAAATAAAATAAAAAATTACATATACATATATACACACTTTTATATCTATACATAATTATATACATATATATACACACATATATACATCTACATACATAATTATATACATATATATACACACTTATACATTTACATATATACACACTTTTACATATATATACACAATTTTTTTTAAAAACTTTTAAAAACTTACAGAATTTTAAAATTTATTTTTTAAAAATAAAATAAAAAATTACATATACATATATACACACTTTTATATCTATACACAATTATATACATATACATATATACACATATATACATCTACATACATATTCACATTCATACACTATATATATGCATAGTCACACACACATATATATATATATATATATATATATGTATATTCATATGCATATATACACATACATACATTGAATATGTATATATATGTGAATATGTATGTATGTATGTATGTATAAATATATATATAAGCATATTCATATGCATATATATACATATATATATACATACATACATACATATTCACATATATATATACATATTCAATGCATATATGGATATATATGTATATATATGAATATGTATATATGTATGTATACATATGTGAATATATATATATATATATATATTATATTTATGTGTATATATGTATATGTATATATGTGTGTATATGTATATGTATATAATTGTGTATAGATATAAAAGTGTGTATATATGTAATATGTAATTTTTTATTTTATTTAAAAAAAATAAAATTTAAAATTCTGTAATTTTTTAAAAGTTTTCTTAAAAAAATTATTTCATTTTATTAGTTTTTTAAAAAAATTCTGGAAATTTTTTATTTTTATTTTATTTTTTATTTATTTTCTGACGTGGCATGATGATTTGGCGAAATGTGATGATTTGGCGAAATCCGTCTGATATGGCATGTCATGTCAGCATTAAAATTGACGGAACTTAGGGCTTGAATGGGAAGAGTTTTCCTAGTTTTTAGAGCTTAAAAACCCAAAAAATTCTCAGTCAAGTTTTTTTTATTTTACTTTTCCTAAAAACCCGCTAAGCCACTTTTTGAGGAAAACTACGTAAAAGCTAGAAACCAATATTTTGTAGATTCTAGGGATTTGGTAGTAGACTTTGTATTTTTTATTAAAAAATAATTATATAAATTATCCTAAAAACAAAAATACCCATCATTTTAAAAATAATTTCAAATAATACCTATATCTATATAAGACTACACTCTTAGCATTTTTACCATCATGTTTGAAAAAGATTTTATAAAAGAACAAAATTTGAGGTATGTAATTCAAAATCTTTATTCAAAATCATCTTATATCTATAGTTATATATACATATATATACATGTAGATATACATATTAATGTTGAATATATATATATATTGAAACATTATAAATACAATATATATATATATATGTATTTGAACAATATAAATATTATATATATATACTTACACATAGATATACGTATGTGAATATATATATATAATATGTATATGTACATACATATATATATATACATACTAATTATATATAAATACATATATATACGTTATATTTAAATATATATATATATATATATATATTATATTTATATTATTTATATACGAAATGAAAAATATAACTTATGTCTTTTTACAGTGCAAACACGGTGAATTCAAAGGGACAATCGTCATATGTGAGAGAGGTATATATTGTATAAATATATCTTTATTATAGTATAATAATTTTTTGTATCATTGATTGGTGTATGTAATAATGTTTTTTTAAGGTGACGATACAATGGATCGATAGATTGGTCAACATTTTTCTTGAACTATACGAGAAAGAGTTGGATCGCACTGGATGGCGTAGTCAAAATCTTAAAAAAGAAAGTAAGATGAGAATAATCGAGACCTTTCGAGAGTCCACGGGTTATAATTTAGACTGAAAAAAATTTAAAAATAAATATTATTCGATTAAAAAACAATACGATATTTATCGTCAATTGATTCGGAAGACTGGAGTCGCACTTTATCCTGATACACAAGCCATCAACATGGATGATGCATGGTGGAATGATCGTATTAAGGTAATTTCTATACAATCTTGACTTTGTTATTGAATACGAATCACATTGAAAATAAAAAAAATACAGTACATCACGCCAGCCTACTAGTTATAAGGAAATGTTTAACAAGAAGCATTCTTCCTTTAGATCAGTAATCGAGCGAACTTTCGGAATATGGAAGGCGAAATGGCGAGTTTTGAAAGAAAAACCAAGGGATAATATACGGGTCCAACAAAAGGTTGTGGCGGCAACAATGGCACTGCATAATTTTATTCGTTTATCAAACTTACAAGATATTGATTTTGAGATAGAACCTGTTGAAGAAAGTGATGCAACAAATGAAGACGATTCATCGGATGATGAAAATGACGAAGAAAACCATAACGATGCTTCGATTAGGTATATGGAGGGAATTCGAGATGAAATTGCAGCGACATTATGGGATTCTCGATGTTGATTTTTTTATTATTGTTGTTATTAATATTAATAAATATGATTTTTGTTTTAATAATAAATACCCTTTTGGTAATTTTTAAATATAAAATCTAAAACCAAAAGCTAAAATATTAACTTTGTCTATCAAGTTTTTTAAAAACTGTAAAAATTATAAAAGCCAAAAGCCAAAAACTAAAAACCAAAAACCAAAAACTAAAGCAAAAAACCCAAAATAAAAGCCACTACCATTCAAAGCCTTAATGTCGTTTACGGATATGAGGGAAATTACAACATATTTTAAGATTTTGTGTGGGAATTTGGAAATGTTTAAAATGTGGTGTAGTTTTTTGTCAAATTAAAAATTGATGTAAGAAATTGGAACTTTTTCGAAAATTTATGGGGAATATGAGATTCTCCCTTAAAAAAAATATAATGTTAGATATTGTGCGTTGACATTTTATGCATCTTCCAGAAAATTTGATCATTATTCTTCTACAAAATTGAATACTTATTTAACATTCGAAATTCGAAATTCTAAAAATTGAATAATCTAGATCCTAAAGTAAATATATTAAAAATCTCAAATATCCCCTGTTTACCAAAATTAAATATAGTTATAAAATATTTGTGTGGATAATGTTAATTCTACAGTTTTATAACAATTTCTGTTCAAGAAAATTAGTAAAACGCACCAAAACTAACCGCTAGAGAGAGGAGAGATCTAAAAATCTTGCAAAAACAAAAAAAAAAGAACAATTAAACGAAACTTGCATAATCGAATCACAAATCAGAACATATTATTTCCATGAACGCGAAAGATTCTCCGGCGATGATGCGTGACGGCGCCGGCGGCGGAGGAGGATGCCGTCCGGCGGGATTCAACATCTCTTCGTACGGATTCTTGGAGAAAATGGAATCTCCGGTGGTGATTTTGGAATATTCTCTGCCTCTCCTCGAGTTTCAAATCATTCTCATCTTCCTCTTCGCTTTCTTCTCTCACACGTTCCTAAGATCCATCAACATTCCCAAGTTCGTCTCCCATATTATCGTAAGAACCCTAAATAACCTTCGTTTCTTGCGCCACAAGTCATCTTTCCGATTTTCGTATTTTGCGAGAGTTTTCGATGTTTTTCATTACAAATTGCGTGTACGTATATTTCGGCACGAGAACATATACATTAGAGTTATATAATGATTGAGATTTATATGTGTAGGCTGGTCTGATTTTGGGTCCCCAGCTCTTGGGTCTGATGGAGTTTTCGTCGGACCGGCTCTCACGGTACCCAGCTTTGGACGGAAACGCGGCTTTGGATTGCGTCGGAGAGTTTGGATTCATAATGTTCACGTTCTTGATGACGGTCAAAACCAACTGGCGATTAGCGTTTCGAAACGGCAAAACCCCAATCGTGATCGCCTTCTCCTCCTCTTTCTTCACTCTGATCGTCGGCATGAGCTTCAAAAACCTATTCTCCAACAGGATCGACCATCTTTACTTACCTATCGAGAGCGGCCTACGAGAGCGCAGAGCAGTGGTTTCGTTCCAATCGCTAACGCTATTACCAGTCGTGGCCCATCTCTTGTCCGAACTCAACATCCTCGGCTCACAGCTCGGCCGCCTAGCCATCTCAACCGCTCTGATCAGCGATTTCTCGGGAATTCTCCTCTTAATCGCTGTCACTACTTTAGGAACTTACAAAAACGTATCTCCCAAGGCAGCTTACCTCGATCTAGCCATGGTGGCATCCCTTTTCCTCGTGGTTATTTTCATCGTGAAGCCTCTTGCCAAACGCATGATCGATCACACTCCAGAGGGCAAGCCTGTACGGTCAATCTATCTATACGCAATTGTAATCATTGCATTGGGTTCATCGGCTTTCACGTCATCGGCTAAACAGAAGAACGTGTTGGGTCCTTTGCTGGTTGGTCTTGCGATTCCAGACGGTCCGCCTTTGGGTTCGGCATTGGAGATCAAGTTCGAGAAGCTCACGACCAAGGTGCTGTTACCGATCTCGATCGCTGTCTCGACGATGAAAGGCGACATGTTCAAGTTTCTCTACGAGTTAGATGACGTTTTGTACAACATGTTCCTCGTGTGTCTTACCCTGATCGTGAAATGGGTCGCCTCTTTCTTACCTTGCTTGTACTACAAGTTACCTATTCGAGAATCCTCGGCCATCGCTGTTATCATGTGTTCCAGGGGACTAACCGAGCTATACCTCTACGAAAACGCAAGAAACAGATCGGTAAAAACCCTCTTAAAGCTTTTGCTGCATATACATATTTATGGCGAGAAGTCGACCAAAAACCCTAACTCCATGAACGTGTTTCTCGTTGAAAAATCACAGGTTATATCGCAATCAACTCACACGTTCCTGATATTGTATGTGCTACTGAGTGCCGGGATCGTTCCGACAGTGGTCACTTCCTTGTACGATCCGAAGAAAAAGTACGCAAGGTATAACAAGAAGAACGTAATGTCCATGAGACACAACTCAGATCTTCGAATCCTGTCATGTGTTCATAAACCGGACAATATCTCGAGCATGATCGCTTTCCTCAGGCTGCTAGTCTCACCTAACAAGCCCTCTCCAATGGCGGTCACGGTCCTACACCTGGTCAAACTCGTCGGAGGAGCGTTTCCCGACATGATCTCGCATGGGAAAAACTCGAATCGGGTGATCCATAACTCTTATATCAGGACAGCGATCGAAGCTTTCCACGATTTCGAATCCGAAAACCGAGAATCCATGAGTATAAGTATGTTTACAGCTTTCTCCAAGATGAATATCATGCATGAAGACATCAACACTCTTGCCCTAAACCAGAACACGTCGATGATCGTTGTCCCTTCGGGTCGGAGGTGGTCGGTGGATGGTTCGTTTGAGTCAGATGACATCGAGATCCGACGTTTGAATGTTACCCTTTTGGAGCACGCACCTTGCTCGATAGGGATACTCGTCGATCGTGGCCATTTCTCTAGAATAAGTAACACGTGGAACAAGAAAAGGGTTAAAACCCTTCGAGTTTGCGCGATCTACATCGGGGGGAAAGACGATCGTGAGGCTTTATCGCTGGCGAAACGGATTAGACCGAACCCGAAAGTCGATCTTACCGTATTCCGCTTCATTTTTGTGGAGGAAGCCGGGTTCACGAACTGGGATTACATTCTTGATAACGAGGTCTTGAAAGAGTTTAAGCAGAGAGAGGTGGATGGATCGGAAAACACGGTTGCTTATGTAGAGAAAACGATGAATAACGGTGACGAAATCATCGAGACTTTACGGTCGGTGGCTGAAGAGTTCGATTTCGTCATTACAGGAAGAGATCACTCCGTAGAATTTCCAGATTCTTCGGGACTAAACGATTGGGTTGAGCTCCCAGAGTTAGGGGTTGTCGGAGACGTGCTTGCTTCAAAAGAGCTAGATTCTAGGGTTTCTGTTTTGGTAGTTCACCAACAATGATGAGCCTCTTTCTGATCTCCGTTGACAGCTTTCTCCGAGCTAAATCGAACAGGACAGGGTACAGAGCGAGACGATTGAAAGAGAAACGAAGACATGTATGGATATCGAGATGAACTGTCCAAAGTTTGAACAGCAAGAGTTTTTTTTACAGAAAGATCAGATTTTTAGCTGTTGGGTGGGGAGATTGAGCAATTACTGAAACGAGATCTTCTGGGTTTTCCATGAACATTCCTCAAAAAGGTAACTGGATGGAATACAAGAAACAAATACCGGTGAAAACACGCGCCGCCCCGTGAGATTTTCCGACATCCACCGCCGATTTCTGCGAAAGCCCAGATCGTGACGAGTAATCATGGCCGTTTCCCGCTGTTTCTGGGTTTTGAAGCTTTGGTTTGAGGACTCGATATTTCTTCTTCGTTCCTGTTTCGCCGGAGACAGAGGCAGCGAAAGCGGGTCTCGTTTCTTAGGATTTCTTGTAATAACCTCTTCAAGATCTTTAGTTAGTTTCAGACAATACATGGTATTACCTTTCATCAATGACACCTCAAAAAGAATTTCCATCATCGAGTTCTGTTCTCATCGAGGGCAGAAAAGTACATTCAAGGCTTGGTTGCGACCGTTGATCGAACTCTGTTTCATTCTGATTCATACTCAAGCGCGATTGAGCGAGAGCTTGTCACTGTGTTTTTTGTGAGATTCAGCGAAAGAAAATTTTATGGATGTCGAAATTTAAGAAGGAAAAAAAAAATCAGATCTTGAGCTGAGAACCGTTTCATAGACTTGAAAAAATTGCTCGTATGATTTTATCTTCGTAACTATACGGTCTCGGGCCTCTACCGGCGTTTGCTCTCTCTTTTTCCCCTTGTAATTTAATATTACAAAACCCTAATTTTCATCCCTTTTTTTTTTATTCTAACTACCTACCGGACAAACACCACCATTACTGCTCTATTTGGTTCAATCATTAAACCTGCCGTTCAGTTTTGGTCGATTCACCAAATTGTTTATCTTCGATTTACGGTTCTTCAAACGGGTCAAAAATCATCTGGGCTCTATAAATCTCTTTGTTTCAGTCAGATTTATCTTTCCCCCTCTCTCCTCCTCGAATTTCTAGGGTTTTAGGGGGGTTTCTCGGTTTGGGTTCTCCGGATTTCAATCCTCTCGGCATTTCTCATTGTGGGTCAATTTCGTGCCTTTGCCACCCATTCGGTCAAAAAAATATTCAGAATCGTCTAGGGTTTTCTGGATTTGGATTCCCAAGTCGCATATCTGGATAGGGTTCCTAGGGTATTGTCGATTTGGGTGTCTCCAGATTTATTCTCCCCCAGAATTCATCGTCTCCTAGGTTTCCACTAGTTTATTCCGAAAATGGCGGAGGACAAGAACGGCGGACATCTGAGTGACGGCTGCGATTACTCGTCGGAGGACGAAGGGACGGAGGATTACCGGAGAGGAGGCTACCACGCGGTACGGATCGGCGACACGTTCAAAAATGGACGTTACGTGGTTCAGAGCAAGCTTGGCTGGGGACATTTCTCCACCGTTTGGCTCGCTTGGGACACCCACAAATCGGTATGCAACTTACGTTCTAAGGATTTGGATTGGAGTTGAGAAAGATTTTAGGAGCAGTAATGGGAAAAAGAGAGAAAATTTTGTATCGGGTTTCTCTTTTTCAACTTGCTTCTTGCAGTTTATAGGCTTTGATTTGACAGTAATTTGCATGAGTAAGCTCGAGGGATTGATGTAGAAAAAATGTATAAGTGGGAGTAGTTCGTTTCCCGAGCATCAACGATAGGTTGTTTAGACATTAGGTTCTATGACGTTTTATCTCTCTAGTGGCCCTCTTGTCTTGGTAATGTTGTTTTTTCGAGTTCCTGCAAGAGATTTTGTTTGTCTGAAGCTTACGCCTGCAGGTTTGATTCTGACATTGTTGGAGAGGAACTTGTGTATTGTTTTTTGTTTCTCATTCAACTTGTTGACCACACAGGAAAATAATTCTTTGTTTGTAGCGTTATGTAGCTTTGAAAGTCCAAAAGAGCGCACAGCACTACACAGAGGCAGCCATGGATGAGATTAAGATCCTCAAACAGGTTGCAGAAGGAGACCCAGATGATAAAAAGTGTGTTGTGAAGCTCTTGGATCATTTCAAGCATTCGGGTCCAAATGGGCAACACGTCTGTATGGTCTTCGAGTACTTGGGTGATAACCTCTTGTCACTTATCAAGTACAGTGATTACCGAGGGGTTCCTCTTCACATGGTTAAAGAGCTTTGCTTTCATATTTTGGTCGGTTTGGATTATCTCCACCGAGAGCTCTCTATTATCCATACTGATTTGAAGCCGGAGAACGTTTTGCTCTGTTCTACAATTGATCCTTCTAGAGACCCTTGTAGATCCTGTGCTCCTCTTGTCCTTCCATCAACTAAGGACAAGACCGTTTCTGGGTCAGTTACCGAAAAATTAACTAAAAGCTACACTTATAGTTCTGATCTGACAAAGAATCAGAAAAAGAAGATCCGGAAGAAAGCCAAGAAAGCAGCTCAAGGTTGTCCTAGAGAGGAAGCTTCGGAGGAAAACGAGAGAGAATCCAACACTGAAGCAAGAATAGATGGGGAGTCAACTGCAGAAGATAGTTCTGAAACTAAGAATGGGAGAGTAAAGGGTGATGAAATCGGGGAGAATGGTAACAAAAAGAGTCGGGGAAACCGGAGGGGAAGCCGTTCTACGAGGCAGAAGTTACTGGGAGAAGTCGATCGAAAATGCAAACTGGTGGATTTCGGGAATGCATGTTGGACCTATAAACAGTTTACGAGCGATATCCAGACAAGACAGTATAGGTGTCCAGAAGTGATTCTTGGATCAAAATACTCGACATCTGCAGATATGTGGTCATTTGCCTGCATTTGTTTCGAGATGGTCACTGGAGATGTCCTTTTCGATCCTCACAGTGGTGAAAACTATGACAGGGATGAGGTTATCTCCCATATTATTTAACTCAGTTGTTTTGCCTCCATTTTTATCATGTGAATGAAAAGCTTCAAGTGTAATGGCCTCTTTTTGTAGGATCATTTGGCATTGATGATGGAGCTTCTTGGCATGATGCCACGCAAGGTTAGATCGCTATCCATAGAAGATGTGGTTCTGACTATTATCAAGAGGGATGGGTATAAATACTCAGAAATCGGGTACCCATGAGTACCTGATCCGTGTCAATCGGACTGATCTGACCCGAGCTCGCACTTGGCCCGAGGGCTTCGGGTTTAGGCTCGGGCCGGCCCGAACCCAAGCCCGATATTTATAGGGTCGGGCTTTGGATTTTGTGATTTAGGCCTGAAAAAAGGCCCGACCCGCTGGATGGGGATATGAAATGGGTTGGTCCTTTTTTTTAACGAATATCTATGGTTCTGGTATACATTAACAAATGACACCTCTATCGATTTTTACCCTTTTATTTTCGGGTACGAGTTTCAACTTTTTATTATTATGCAATTTTTTTGTTATAATTATGTTTTTGGCACCATGAGTATCCGAACATTTTGTCGGGTATCCCATAGTTTGGGTACCAAAAACTCGGGTACGAATCTGGGTATCGAATTATGGTTTCCAAGTCATTTGGGATACGAGTCTGGGTACCCTGATTTTTTCGGGTACCCAACCCGAAAAATCTGGATTGAATGTTTTGGTTTAATATCCAAATGCAGATTACATCAGGGGGTCGGTACTCGCGAGATTTCTTCAACCGATATGGTGAACTGAGGCACATACGAAGATTGCGATTTTGGCCATTGAACAAGGTCCTGATGGAGAAGTACGATTTCAGCGAGGAGGATGCAACCGCCATGGCGGATTTCATTATTCCGATTCTCGATTTCGTGCCCGAGAAGAGACCGACTGCTTCCCAATGCCTCACTCATCCATGGATGGACCCTGGCCCTAAGCTGATGCAGCCATCATCTGGTAGTAACACAGAATGCAGAGAAGAAGAGAAGATGATAGAGAAGGAAAAAGACGAAAGGGAGGCCATGAAGGATGGTATTGCGAATATAGCCATCGATGATGGTTCAGCGAGAAACGGCCGCCTTTCTGCTCGGGATTTTCGGACGTAGAGACAGCGGCCGTTCGGGTCAGTTGCCATTCTAGTTTACGTTTATCCGAGACATCTGCTTCTTGGGGGAGAACTAAATGATTGAACCGTTTTTGTTTTGTCTCTCTCTCTTGTGTTTTTTTGTTTGTGTGGTTACATGTCTTTCAATTTCTGAGAGATTTGAGAGTTGATTGTAATGTACTTGCCGTTGTGTTCATCAACCATGTTCTTGCTTGAACATGAGTTGCCGGCCTCTTTGGCTATTTTATTCAACTTTTTTGTAATCGAAACTTGATTTCATTACATATTGTGTTTGATGATATTTCCCACAAATTTCTATCCCGAATAAAATTCGGTATAAAGATGAGATATGGGTATATTTTTTAAAATTAAAAAAATCAAATTGGAATCGAATGAAAACTAACCGTTTGTAAGATTCTTCCATGTTTCTTGGCTTTTTACATCAGCCCTTTGAATTTTTTTTTGATGAACCATTGAGTTTAGAATTAAAAAGATCAGTGAAAGAGTTCTCTCTACAGTTTCGTCTCTCTTCTCTTTAAATAAATTAAAAAAAAAAACTCAAAACTGCTTTATTCCATGGGGGATTCCACAGAAATCCTCGGACTCCGTTATTTTTCAGTAGAGAGAGACATGAAAATCTCACTGACCCTTTTGTCTGAATTCTCTCTCCTTCACAACCTGACGTTAATCCTTTCCGACAGCTTCATCACGTCCGAATAAACCCTGTCGCCGCCGATTTCTCGACCCGACGCTCCACCCGCTATCATCAAAACGTCCTCAATGAGCCCGAAGTTCCCCATTATATCGACGTGAGCTCCGCTTTCCATTCCCCGACCTTCCCACAAGCTTCCCGGAGGTTTGTGCTTGTATTCCCGAACATACGTTTCCATTCCCGACGGGTTAAACCTCGTCTTTCCTCTCCACCCCTTTGCGCACATGAACGCTGCGCTTATCGCGGGCACGCTCTCATCTCCGTCTACGAAGTGAACTCCTCCTTTCAGACAGCTATCTTTTGTTTCTCCATCTACCGAACTGTCTATCCGGAAGGGGATACTGCTCTTGCATTGTCCCGATGACGAGGTTGAGGAGAGCTTGTAAATGTAAGATCTTTCGGTCGGGATTCCCACTCCGTATAGGCAGTACATCTCGATGTCCGGTGCATCGGGTAATCTGAAAACAAAGAATTATAACAAGGAAAAGAAGCATTCTGGATCATATATGCTACCGGTATCGTGTTTGATTCTTTTGTTCTGTCGGGTTTCCATTTATCTATGATCGGATTAACGGGTTTCCTCCATTTCATTTTAATTTTTCCGGGTTGAGTTTGTTTCCGAGTTCTCGATGTTAAATTTTTGTGTGTGTTTTTTGGTGCTTTTCTCCACATCTACCTAATCTTTTGACAAGAAAGAGTGAAGTCTGGTATAGAACTTACTTGGTTTCGAGAGGATTAGACCAATACTTGTAATGGCGATACTTCGGGTCGTCGAGATCATCAGCAATGCCGTGAGAGAAATGAGCCTCGGCTCTTCTCATCATTTTCGGGGCGACAAACCGGAGAAGATCAAGAACGGTTGTAGCAGTGTAGGCTGTGTTTTCCGCTACTTTGACCATGCTTTCTCGGCTCATCTCATTGTACTCCGTCCAAATCTCTCCGCACGACGAGTTCGCATCCGAAGTTCTGCTCGATCTTGAAATTTCCTGTTTGAAACAATGAATATGAAAAAGTTCGGTTCGTTAAAATGTGGTTAGGGTAAGGATCAAGTTCAAGAAGATGGTTATTTTACATCGATGTTAAGACTGGGGATTTGCGAGGACGGCAGCTCGGATGCCCGTTTCCCGAAAGCGATTATTCTTCCGTACTTTGTAGGCTCTTTCACCCGGGAAACCGATTTGACACTATTGTTCCGAGAATTGAGATCGGTTTCAGACAGCTTCGGAGATTTCTTCGTGGAGAAACTGCAAGCTTGTCCTTCTTCTGGCGAAGAATCTAAATCCCCCCAGATCGCCTCACCGCCTTTAGGTAATAAAGAAACTATCGAATCCCAACTTCGGGAAACTCGCATAACGTGTTCCAGCGTTTGCAGCTTGAGAATCTCCGAGTCCAAGAGCCCAGGAGCCAAAGCCCTGAGAGTACAAAACATAACAAACAACACTTCAGTTAAAAAATCTGGGCTTTTGTGTGTAACAAAGACGAGTGAGACAGAATTTAAAAATGTCTGAACGAGAGTATAGGATATCTATTTTATTAATATAAATATCGAAACTATGTAAAAAAAATGAATCTAAACATTACATTAATCTTTTTTCGAATATTATCTATATATTTGATACCTGGCATAAGCGATGTCCCGACCCTCGGCGGAGAACAAGTTACTGACGGCTTTCGGGACACCGAGAAAGGTTGCTCCGATGTTGACAACGGCTTTGATGTGGTCGGCTGACCAAGTTGGTCCACCACCGCCTCCATCGGGTGGAGGAGCTTCGACCCATTTAAGGAAGTGAAGGAAATAGATAGAGCCCATTGAATGTGGAACCACCACCACTTTCTTATACCCGTTTGTTATGTACATAAGCTCGATTTTGCTCTTCAGTCTACTAAACGATTGGTCCCGAATCTGCTCCTCATTTCCAAATTCAAAAACTACGATATTAGTTCAAACAATACAACAATCTGAAGCGATTATCGTGATAATACAGCTCGATAACACGAATGTTCCATCTAATCGAGGTAGTTTAGTCGAAACATTATCTGATCTTGCCTATAACAGTTTCCAGCTCTTGTGTGTGTTATATAGTGACACAATCTAAGCTTATTATATCAAGAGATGAAAATGAAAGTATACCTCAGTGTTATGGAAAGAGAGCCTCCAATCATAAGCAGCCATGTGCAGATTCTTGCCTTCATACCCGATTTTCGCCAAATTCTCGATAAGAACCGCCCACACGAAATAACCGGGGGCGAAATAATCGGCAGCAACCAGCCCCGGGACAGCTCGGACCCGAATTCCCGGCGGGTCCAGACCGGTTTCGCCGTCCAAAGACAAGTGCTCCAACCAACACAATGGCCTAAACACAATGCACCGTTCATTCCAATGTATTCAACCATAATATCATACAGTTTTAATTCATAACCGATCCAAACCGGGCTAAAACAGAAAACCGAAACAATCTAGAAATATATAACCTGACAAATCCGTCTAAACCGATCATCGAAACCAAGCGGGAATTAATCAAATCAGAATCATACCCATAAGTTGAGCTATGAACCAAAATCAAAAGCTAAACCGAAATTGTCGTGAACCGTTACCGGACCGGTTTCTGTTTCTAGAAATTTAACAGAACGGCCGTTAACTAACGGCGGAAAGGCGTTTAAATTACCGTCTGAGGATCTCCGTGAACCAACCTCCCCAGAGACGTTTACGGAATAGCCCTTCAGAGCAAGGACGGCCCTCCCAGAGCTCGAGACCTCCGGTGACGATTCCGGGGACCAGAACCACCGGATGAACCGCCGTGACGCCGTCGCGTCTCAACCTTGTCCCCGGCGATTCCGGCGGCTGAAGCATCGCCGGAACCGGCAGGGAGTGGTAGATGAAGAGGAGGAGGCACCAGGCCGGGCAGAAGTAGCCAATGGGCC